GGGAGTCATTAGCATGAAGATGGTAATTAAAGCTACTTGTGTGGTTTTCAGAAAGCTTGCCTAAAAATTGAATGAAAGATAGGAGTTTTGTCTTATAAAGAGGTGGGAGACTTCAGCAGGAAAACATCCAATATAGAAAAATCAGGGTTAGAGGCCAGCCAGGCGTGGTGGTTCACATCTGTAATCCTAGCACAATGGGAGGCAGAAGCTGGAAGATTGCTTAAACCCAAGAGTTTGAGACCCACATGAGCAACAAAGCAAGACCCTCACCTCTATAAAAAATAAAATAGGCCAGGAGTGGTGGCTCATGCCTGTAATCCCAGCACTTTGGGAGGCCAAGGCAGGCAGATCACCTGAGGTCAAGAGTTCGAGACCAGCCTGTCCAACATGGTGAAACCTCATCTTTTCTAAAAATACCAAAAAAAAAAAAAAAAAAAAAAAAAAAATGACCTGGGTGTGGTGGCACGCACCTGTAGTCCCAGCTACTTGGGGAAGCTGAGGGAGGAGAAGGCTTGAACCCAGGAGGCAGAGGTTGCAGTGAGCCAAGATAGTGCCACTGCACTTTAGCCTGGGTAACAGAGAGAGACTCCATCTCAAAATAAATAATAAATAAAATAAAATAAAATCAGTTGGGCATGGTGGCATGCACCTGTAGTCCTAGCTACTGGGAAGGCTAAGGTGGGAATATCTCTTGAGCCCAGGAGTTCAAGGCTACAGTGAGGTATGATCACACCACTGCACTCCAGCCTGGGAGACAGAGCAACACCCTGTCTCTGAAAAGAGAAAGAGAGAAAGAGAGAGAGAGAGAGAGAGAGAGGTAGACGTAGATAAGAGTGACACCTCTGAGGAAATGAGAAAAAGTAGATTCCAGAACATAAATACAGAGAGGAAAATCTCTTCTCTGGTGGAAAAACAATGAGATGTAATTGTGGGGTTTCCTCCACACACATTTTTTTATACCCCTGCCCTATTGGATTTCAAAACTTAAGGTTACAAAAATGTATAGACTTTGAAGAAATTTAGTACAAAGACTACTTTAAGTTTACACTTAAACTTTCAGTACAAGAATGTATTGTTTTAATGTCTCTAATTGTTGTATACATTAACTTAGCCAGGAGAACAAGAAACAGGGTTTTATGCTCTGCCTCTACCTGAGCCAGAAGCCCTGCAATTTACAGGGATTCCAAATAGGTTTCTGGCATTTGAGAATACAAGAAGCCTGAATCTATATTAATAAGAAAAGCCAAAAAAAGGGTAGCAAGACCAGAGTTCGCCACATCCAGAATGTCAGGGAAAATGGTCAGAATGGATTTGTGGAGCTCACCCTTTGAATTTCTACATCTCCAAGAACTTCAATAATAAAATTAAAAGACATTCCTGGATTCATTAACAAGATAATCATCTCTGGACATCAAAATGAAAGACTGGCTGTGTACCGTGGTTCATGCCTGTCATCCCAGCAAGTTGGGAAGTCGAGGCGGGAGGATCACCTGAGGACAGGAGTTAGAGACCAGTCTGGCCAACATGGTGAAACCCCATCTCTACTAAAAATACAAAAATTAGCTGAGTGTGGTGGCGGACACCTGTAATCCCAGCTACTTGGGAGACTGAGGCAGGAGAATCACTTGCACTCAGGAGGTGGAGGTTACAGTGACCCGAGATCATGCCATAGCACTCCAACCTGGGCAACAGAGTGAGACCCCCATCTCAAAAACAAAACAAAACGAAAGATAATACAACTGGGTTAGTGGGGCTAGAGCTATGACCTCGATGGTCTTCTGAGTCTGGAAGCAGGTAGAGGTTGGTTAGGAGTTTGAATCCTGCAGAGTAGCGGAGATCAAAGGTACTCCAAACATGGTAAGGCACCTTAGTCAGGTTCATTATGAAACTGGAATTAGGGAAAAACTGTGACTTCCATCCTGGGCTAGAGTTTATAAAACAAAGCAAACAAAAAACAACAAGGACAGCTTAGCTATGGTGGTGAAAGGAAACAAACTAGCACACAAAGGACTTGGGCCTACCTACTTTGAGGCTCAGGAAGCAGACCTGAAGGGCAAGTTCTGAGATTCCTAGCCTGAGTGGTCTCAGGTGTACATGGACCCAACACTAAAACAGGAAACACATGGAATAAGTGGAAAGTTAAGGAAAAACTACCATTCTAGATGACCTGCAAATTATACTTTGTACACAAGGAAAACAATACCAAAAACATCAGCCAACTCTCAACTTAGTTTTTGTTTAATTTATCTGTAAATTTCTAAAAAGATATATTTAAATTTTCCAGTATAGCAGCTGGGCTTGGTGGCATGCACCTGTAGATCCAGCTACTCAGGGGGCAGAGGTGGAAGGATCCATTGATCCCAGAACTTTCAGTTTAGCCTGAGCAACAGAGTGAGAACTCGTTTTAAAAAGAAAAAAATTCTTTTTTAATTTCAATATAGTGTTGATGTGATTTTTTTTGTGCAATTCTGTTAGTTTTTGTTTTGTATCAGTTATAAGGTCAGCTAGATAGAACTTCTTGGCAATTTTAAATTTTATTATTATGTATTTTTTTTAATCCTTTATACTTTTTGCTTTATACTATTTTTGTTTGCTACCAATGTTCAACTTCAGCTTTCTCTTGGTTAGCATTTGCTTGCTATAACTTTTACCTTTATTTTTAACCTTTCCTATGTTATTTTATTATGGCCACATCTTTTGTATATGGCATCTAACTGATTTTTTGTTGCTGTTTTTAATTTTGACAGTCTCTATTTTTAACTGAAATTCAATTTATATGAGTATGATCTGTTTGCATTTATCTCTACCAATGTCTGTTTTTGAGGTCTACCAATTTTTTGTTGTTTTTTTTTTTTTTTTTTTGAGAGGAAGTCTTGCTCTGTTGCTCAGTCTAGAGTGCAATGGCACTATCTTGGCTCACTGCAACCTCTGCCTCCTGGGTTCAAGCAATTCTCCTGCCTCAGCCCCCTGAGTAGCTGGAACTACAGGCACATGTCACTGCACCCAGCTACTTTCTGTATTTTTCGTACAGACGGGGTTTTGCCATGTTAGCCAGGCTGGTCTTGAACTCCTGACTTCATGTGATCAGCCTGCCTTAAGATCCCCAAAGTGCTAGGATTCCGATATACTTTTGATTTTCTGGATTTCTCCTTATTTTTGTTTGTTTGTTTGTTTGCCTCTCCTGCCTTCTTTTTTTTTTTTTTTTTTTTTTTTTTTTTGAGATGGAGTTTCACTCTTGTTGCCCAGGCTGGCATGCAAGGGCTCCATCTCGGCTCACTGCAATCTCCACCTCCCAGGTTCAAGCAATTCTCCTGCCTCAGCCTCCCGAGTAGCTGTGATTACAGGCATATGCCACCACGCCCGGCTAATTTTATATCTTTAGTAGAGATGAAATTTCTCCATGTTGGTCAGGCTGGTCTCAAACTCCTGACCTCAGGTGATCCACCCACCTCAGCCTCCCATAGTCTTGGGATTACAGGTGTGAGCCCCTGTTCCCAGCACCTCTCCTGCCTTTGTTGGATTGATAACTTTTTTAAATTCCCTTGCTTTTACCTCTGCCTGTTTGAACTTTGTAGATTATATTTTGTCTATGCTTTTAGAAGCTATTCTTAAAATTTTGATATGCATGCTTAACCATTTATTTTCCTAACAATTTATAGTTTTTAAAAGCCAGTTATCTTCGAGCCCCAAAACTGCTTTATCTACCTAATGTATTGGGAGTGATTGTTATCTAGAATTTTAGTTCCATATTTATCAGAACATAAACCTGTTACTATAAATCAATGTGTAATTTAACTTAACATAATTTATAAATGTTTGTTTTTACCATTTGTTTTTTTAATACAACAATTTCATTCCGAATTCACTTTTCTTCTTGCTGCAATGCATCTTTTAGTAGTTCTTCCAATAACAATGTGTGTTGGTTAAAGTCAGTTTTAAAGAAAAGTTTTTTTTATTGCATTTTATGTTTTGGGGTACATGTGAAAAACACGCAGGATTGTTGCATAGGTACACACAAGGCAGTGTGATTTGCTGCCTTCCTCCCCTTCACCTATATCTGATATTTCTCCCCATGCTATCTCTCCCCACCTCCCCACCCCCCATCCCTCCCCCATTTCCCCCCAACAGATCCCAATGTGTAGTGCTCCCCTCACTGTGTACATGTGTTCTCATTGTTCAACACCCGCCTATGAGTGAGAATATGCGGTGTTTGATTTTAAAGAAAAGTTTTCTATTTCATTATTCTTGAATTGTCACTTAGCTGGATGTAGAAGTGACAGTTATTTTCATCTCAGTCCTTTGGTAATATTACTGCATCGGCTTCTGGTTTCTACTGCTGCTAATGAGAAGTTTGGTGTCTAATTGCCATTTTTTTTGAGATGGAGTCTTGCTCTGTCACCCAGGCTGGAGTGCAGCGGAGTGATTTCGGCTCATTGCAACCTCCACCTCCTGGGTTCAAGTAATTCTCCTGCGTCAGCCTCCCGAGTAGCCTCCCGAGTAGGGATTACAGGCGCCTGCCACCATGCCCAACTAATTTTTGTACTTTGTGTAGAGACGGGGTTTCACCATGTTGGCCAGGCTGGTCTCAAACTCCTGACCTTGTGATCTGCCTGCCTTGGCCTCCTGAAGTGCTAGGATTATAGGCGTGAGCCACCACACCCGGCCTAATTGTCATTCTTTTATGGGTAATCTATGTTTTCTCTTTGGGGTAGCTTTTAAAGTCTGCTCTTTATCCTTATTGTTAGGTATCTTCACTACAGTACGTTGAGGTGTGAATTTGTTTTTATTATTTTGCACCTAATATGTGACTTCATATTTTGAAAATTCTCTGTATCATCTCTACAAATATTATTTCCACATTCCTTTTATTCTCTCTTTCTGAAATTACTATTAGATGCATCCTTCAAGTGTTCTGCCAGTATATTGCTATGTAACAAACACACCATTCCAAAATATAGTGGCAAGAAGCAATAACTATTAATATTTTATTACGCTCACAGATTCTGCACCATAGGTATTTGAACAGGCACATCAGGGACAGCTTGACTCTACTTCAAGATATCCAGGGCGTCAGATGAGAAGACTCTTGAATGACTGGAGGATGTTTTACTCACCTGTTTCATGATCACAGGGGAAGGAAGAATTACTTAAATGTAACATCAAAAGCACAAATTATGAAGGAAAAACCTAATAAATTTTAACACTCCAAATTTAGTACTTCTGTTTGATAAAATATCTCATAAACAAGATTAAAAGGAATGCCACAGTCTGGGAGAAGATAATTGTAACAAACATTAAACAAAAGATTAGTATTCAGAAAACATACATTACTTTCATAAATCAGAGAAAGATATTTCAATAGAATAAGAAGTAAAAGAAAATATGCTCAGCTTCACTCTAGTAATCAGATAAATACAAATCAAAACATCCATCAGATTGTCAAATCTAAGTCTGAAAATGTCATGTATTGGGAAGGATATAGGGAAATGAAAAATTCTTACCTTCTGTTGAGGTGTAAATTGGTACAACCACTTAGGAGAGCCATTTGGAAATACCTTGCCTAGTTGAAAATGCAAACGTTCTATGATCCAGAAACATCTATAATTTAGGGAAAAAAAGGTTGAAAACGTATAAGGAAACATTCATTAATGTATTTGTTGAATAAATATTGATCAAGTTCCTATCTAAACCAAGCATTATACAAGGTCTTGAGAATAAAATGATGAACAAGACAGTTCTCATGAAATGGAGACAAACTTATAAATAAACAATATATCAGGTAAGGCAGGGTAAAGGGATAGATACTGAAAGTGCTATCTTAGGTAAGATGGACAGGGAAGGCTTTCCCGAGGTGAATTTGTGGAAACTTAGAGGAGTGGGGGAACAAGATCTGTGTGCATGTTCTAAGGAAAGTGCATTTTAGGCAAGAAGGAATGGGAGAAACACACCTGAAACATTGGAAGAAAGGAAGAAGGTGAGGTGGAATGGAGTTAATGACTGGAAAGTGGGAGGAGATAAATCTGGAAGGTAGGCAAAGGCTACATCACATAAGGCCTTCAGGCCAAGGTAAGGAGTTTGGACTTTTTGGTGGAATGAGAAGCCCATTAGAGTGTTTTGCTCAGGGATATCTTATTAGTCCGTTTTCATGCTGCTGATAAAGACATACCTGAGACTGGGGAATTTACAGAAGAAAGAAGTTTATTGGACTTACAGTTCCATGTAGCTGGGGAGGCCTCAAAATCATGGCAGAAAGTGAAAGGCACATCTCACATGGCAGCAGAGGAGAAGAGAGAGCTTGTGCAAGTAAACTCCCATTTTTTAAAACCATCAGATCTTGTGAGACTCATTCACTATCATGATAACAGTGGAGGAAAGACCTGCCCCCATAATCCTATCACCTCCCACCAGGTTCTTTCCACAACACATGGGAATTGTGTGAGTTACAACTGAAAATGAGATTTGGGTAGGGACACAACCAGACCATATCAGATACTAGTGATCTAAAGTGCATTCTCAAAAGTCCACTTCGGCTGTTCTGTGTAGAAGAGACTGTAGGGTGTAAGGTAGAAAACACTTTTCTAAAAGTGTCCATCAGAATTATGTATGTATAAGGCTTCTTGGTAGAAAGTATCTTTAATTTTTTCAAGTAAGCTGCTTAAATCTCAAATCACTTTTGAGCTAAGGTTAACTTACTATTTTAATTCAGTACCTCTCTATTTACCTGAGTTGCAACTTCTCTATCTTTGGTTCCTGTGTTGTAAAACAAACACATACAGTTTTTCACCTATCAAACTGTCAAAGATTAAAATATTTGATAAAATATTGTTTTGATAAAGGTTTGAGGAAATAGCCAGTCATAAATAGTTGATGGCTGTGTAAGGGATGGAGTGAAATTCGGAAATATCTTTCAAAAGTAAAGATGCACCTACATATTGACACAAATTCCATGTCTAGGTATTTATCCAATGAGTCTATGCAATGCAATATTGTTAATAATACAAAAGATTGGCAACAACTTATATATCCCTCAATAAAATGGCAAAACAAAATGGCACAGGCATCCAGTTAACACCACTCAGCTATTAAAATAGCCAAGCCACTAGCTCTCCATATGGAAAATTATCTAAGATATCTTGATAAATGAAAAAATAAAAGAGTAATATGTATATTACACTACCCTCTGTGTAAAAAAAGAAAAATTATATATGTTTATAAATACATATATACATTTTTATATATAGAATGTCCATGGGAGGAAATTTAAGAATTGGAAATAGTGGTTGCCTCTGGGAAGGAAAACAGAATCACAGAGAAAGGAGAGAAACATACTTTTCACGATATGCTCTTTTGTGCCTTTTGATTTTGTGTACATGAGTGTGTTACCTATTCAAAAATAAAAAAAATTTAAGTCCACAATCATTTTTAAGCAGAGATAGCAATTTATTCATTAAACATAAATAGATACCTCCCCTACACACACTTATGAGACTCTGTGCCAGTGATTCTTGTATTTTTGAAAAGAAATATATCACACAGTCAAGCGTGGTTCCTTCAAAGAGAGCATCATCCTGCTGACTGAGTCCCCTTCATATAAAGAGAAGAGGTGACTTCTCAAGGGATACTATCTGTGGATCATTAAAGACCCATCTAACTCAAAACATTTCCTTTTGTTAACTTGTCCCAGTTCTGGAAATCCCTACCATGGAACGTCGTTTATTTTTATTTTAGGATAAAGGCATTGCATTTTCAGGAAGTCCCTGTCAGGCTACTAATATGTAACCTGGTAACATTAGGATGGATTTTTTTGTTGGTTCCCTAGCAGAAAGCTGTTTCTTGAAAAATAAGGTTGGTTTGGTGGGAGGGACTTTAAAGACACTGATGCATGCAATCCTGCAGAGAAGAGTTTACATCCTAGAGATTTGCCAAATGAGAGTTCCTGGGTAGTAACAGGCAGCATGAAGGCAATGAGCATTTTGGAGCACTGGAGGAAGAGATGAAGCTTTGCAGAGAGTGTTACATACAAACCGTATCCGGTTTTTATGAAGCAAGCTCTGACTGTCTAGAAGGGTGAAGTCCTACACCAAAATTGCAGGAAGGCCAAAAGTCACAGTAATTGAATACAGGTTGACGGTAGGCCCATGCTCTTCAGCATTTTTTAAAGCTGTAACAATAATATAACCTGTTATGAGGTGATTTTTTTTTTTTTTTTTTTGAGACAGAGTCTTGCTCTGTCACCCAGGCTGGAGTGCAATGGTGCAATTTTGGTTCACTGCAATGCCTCCCAGGTTCAAGTGATTCTTCTGCCTCAACCTCCCGAGTAGCTGGGATAACAGGCGCCCATCCATGAGGTGATTTTATATACATCATTTGCCCCAAGATTAGTCAATGTATGTTCTGAATAATACCAATCTCTTGGAATGTGAATAAATGTTGTTAAAATACGTTATATGATCAAATAAGTTCGGGCAACAGCAGTAGTTAACACAGAAATGTTTTTCTTGTTGGGACTTCTCAGAGCCTATAACATGCAAATAGGTATTTCTCCAAAGGAAAAACAATTATGCAGTGTGCCCAAAATTGTCTTCCCATAGAACTCTTTTTTATCACAGCACATGTCATGCAGTAATGTTAGGTGGGACACTTGGGCATCACTGAACCTTCCTACTCTTGCCTTGGCCTCCCATTTCTATCCTGATGATCATTTCCACCTTGTTTTACCTTACCCCCTCCTCCGAATCATCACACATCCTCTATTATGATGTTCACACTAGGAAAATAATGATGACATCAAAAGGATTGATGACCTTCACACAAGGACTTCCTTCCCACTTATTACTATACTCCTATGTGTGAGTAAAGGCTCTGCATTTTTTGAAGCAACTACAATCTGTAATAAGACTAAGACCAGTGTGAGATTAAAGCAGGCCTTAATGCTGCAATTGTCAGTAAAGTCTGTCCTTTAGGTATCATGGTGCTCTCTGTAATTGTCCCTCACCTTCTCTTAGGCCTCAAAAACTGGCTTGGCACTAGGGCTCTCTGAAGCAGTCATTGTGTCTTTTTCCCCCTTCCATGTTTGATTGATCGAAGTTACTAAATCTTTGAAGCCTAAAATTAAGTTTCGTTAGAGTTAGAAACTCCAGACCATGGACTGCCACCAATCTCTGGACAGTACCTATTGCTAATATTACATCATTTGGGACTGGGACAGCTCTGGTCAACATAACCCCCAAGTGTCAGAGATAGCAGTCAATGGTAGCACCACTTATTATTTTCCTCAAGAGAGACTGATTACATATGTATTTGTAAAATCAGAATAAGGCTTTCTGTAGCCTTAGTGTCCATCTGAATATTTTGTCTCATTCAAAAGAATCACAAATCCATCTTTAAAGAGCTTTGAAAAATAATTTATTTTCACTGAAGACTCTTGAAAAAGTAGCAAAGTGATGAATCACATCACATCACAAACAATGGAACTTAGTCAAAATCCCCAAAGCCCCACACTGCCGAGCAGCTGTTGTCCAAATGTCCCTGCTCGGATTTCAATCACTCTCTTCACCTCTCACCTCCCTACTTTCTCTGTCCCTTTCCCCTTCTTTCCAGATCTTTTCCACTGTGAGCAATTCTTATCTTTGTTTTCTTTTTAATGTAAATTGCTTTAGCTTCCTCTTCTGTTCTTCTTTCTATCCCTTACCACCTGTTCTCCCTATTTCTTTCCCTGGCTTACCCCTTAGACTCAAGAAGGAAGCAGGAAGAGAACAGAAGAGAACACGATCACTTCTTACAAGTTACTCTTTTTCTCTGACATACATAGCTTATGTAATACATATGACATGTAACACATATAACATGTAATATACAATAGATATGATATATACTATGGTATGTGATATGTCCAGCAGAGCCTCATTATAACAGTCCTTGCCATCTGTCCTATAAGGCTGCTAAATTAATGGAGCAATTAGGTACTTTTTTCTGATGCTCTAGTAACTAGTTCCCTTTTTAAAGTTTACACTTTTAACTCAATTGCATAGCACAGTGATAATATTCTAAGGAATTTCTCCAAAGACTGTGTAATTAAGCTGTGTGCAATCAAAGCAAATGGACAAAATATACGGATATTGGTCATTCATATGAATAAAGCTGTCCATCTATCTTTCCCTGGTCAGATAGTCTGAGCTCACATGGGAAGGCCTTTTTGTGT